AAAAAAAAAAAAAAGGGGGGGGGGGGGAAATTATCACACTAGCTAATGCTCGACTGCTCAACACTACTTTTTCGACTTTGCTCCATCACACACATTTGGTATTACACCGGAATTATTCTCTCTTGAACCCTCCTCCTGCAATGCTTGAATATCTACCGTTCGATGTGCTCGACCCATCTTCACGCTACGCAAAATGGTTTGCAGAAAGGCGTCCACTGTACTGTAGTCCAATGAGAGCAATGAGGTTCCACCCTCATGATAAAACGACTCCTCCACAAGATTCCAAAGACTCTCCTCCGTCGGCTGCACCACATCATCCACCGCCCGAGCCACATACTCCGCAAGCAGAAAGCCGGTCACCTGCAGCATTAATTCCATCGTTGCAATGATCTTCGCAGGCCCCCCATCCGCCTGCGATGACGGACTGTCCAGCGCCGACCGCAGCGGCGGCAGACGCGACGGCGGCCCAAGAGGAGTCGTTCGGCCGCCCGACGACTGCTGCCCGACGGGAGACGTCCGTCCACCCAACGGCGTCGTCGATCGTGCTTGAAGGCCCCGCACGCGCCGACCCGCCAGCGCGAGCGCCTGTTGTTGTTGTTGTTGCTGTTGTTGATATTGATATTGGTGTTGTTGTTGGAATGGGCAGTGGATGTGGCTGCTGCAGAGATAGTCATACGGCGTGGACGCACGTCGTGAAATATAGCCACTGGAGCTTTTTGGCGACTGCACGCTCGTTGGCGATGGCGATGGCAACACGCTGGAGTTGTGCACAAGTAAACGGTCCAGATGCTTTAGCGCCTCCGCAGGTTTGCCGTCAACAGGAAAAAAACAACTCTCCTCCGCGCTGAAAGCGAAAAGATGCGACCCACGAGGAAGAGCAGCACGTACTGCTGCTGTTGACTGCATAGTTAAACTCGGATCAATTAACTGACGTCCTATTTGCCGGAGAAGATCATCAGCAGAGAGAGGTTGATGCAACTTAAGACGCATACGCTGTGGCGCTCGGTCATGTACAGAACTATATACTAAGAACTCTCTCGTATAAGGATCATCTCGGACAACTAACATCTTCTTTCTCTACCAAAGTAATAAAAAAGAAAAAAACACGGTAAACAGAGAGAGAAAAATAAGAAAATTATCTTAGGGGTTTCTCAAAAAATATATATAATTTTGTCAACACATAAAAAAAAAAAAAAAAAAAAACGAAATTATATGAAGAAAAACCATACAAACAGTCATATTAAAACAAAGCACGCAATTCCTTCAAAACAAATGGACTATTGTCCATTGAAGAGATTTCACGTTTCACAATCTTTGACTCATTAATTGAAGGACTTAATCCACAAAAAACCATCTTGGTTGATGAAACACCAGAGGAACGAAAAGATAATTCACGTTCATCAACGACAGACCTAAGCTTTCTACGCCAGCAACAATCATACTCTTTCCCCGTACCAATACTAGGCTCCAAGACATGAATTTCATTCACATTATGATCATGATCCTTACAATGTGAAGAAGGAGTTGGACAATCCTTTTTATCTCCACACTTAACTACACG